ACACTGTCAGTGCATATCAATTAATTTCATAGAAAAATAAAATTGTTTAATTAAATGTAATAGATTGATTAATGTATATTATAAGCTAATTATTTAGTGTTCAGACATTAACTAAGTTATACAATGATGCAATTATAAGAAAAATAAGTAACTAACGACTAGGGCTGACAATGAACTGAACCAACTCAAAAATAGTTTAAAACTCGATTTGACAATTATATCGTTGAACTAGGTCATGAACCAAATGAGCTGAATATGAGCAAAAACGTAAGTTCGTTAGCTATATGAGCTGAACTTGAACTATACATAGTTTTACTCGTTAGGTTCACGAGTCAACTCAATTACATATGAGAAGGATTATATTTTCTTTAAGATTAAGTTTAAATATTTACTCTAAATCTTAATCCTAAATATGTCTTGTATGTACTAGTTATGACAGTTAAGCTAACAATTGTATTTAGAGTCATCCTTGTAGGAGGCATAATGATATTTGCTAAAATAATATGTGTAATGAAGGTTGCAAGTGGTGTAATCATTTTGTGATAGAAATATATCAATTTCTAATAATTTTTGGTGTATTATTTCATTAAATTTGTATGGTTCCTAAATATTTAGAAAAAGTTCTGAATTTTTGAGACAAATTTAAACTTCACTTTAGTAGTTTTTAAATTAGACTTTCAAATGTATCTCTTGAAAGTTGTGTAGGTTTTGAATTAGTAGATTTTTGAGATAAAGTTAAATTTAAATCTGATAACTTTTATTTTATTTTAATATATTTTTTAAAAAAAATATTAATTTAAAATGTCAAATATATAAAAAAAATAGACTTAAAAAATGACTTTTAAGTTCGTGAGCCATGTGAGCTGAACCTAATGAGATGAATCTAACGAGTTGAACCGAACTGTTCTTGAACTTATAACGAGTCGAGTTTGAGCTTAAAAAAAGTTCGTGTTAAACTGGAACCGAGATTTGAGCTGAACCAATTCTTAACGAGTCGAGCCAAGCTGAGGCGAGTTCGACTCGACCCGACTCATTTCCAGCCCTACTAACGACCTACAATTTTTTATAATTAATGTAACGATGAAATTGATTAATGACACACCAATGTTGTAAAGTAGCTTTAAAAAATATATTTTTTTATTTTAAAAATATTTATAAAGAAACACTGATCACCAAATTTGGGTGTCAAGCTAGCATTCCAGCTAATTATAATATATTTGATTAGGAGACGGTAAAAGAAATACTCTCACATAATATTTGGATATATTTCTTCTTCGTGCGATCATCTATCTACTCATTTATTATATCTTACCTAGTTTAATCCAAAATCGGATCAACTCGCAATCGATGGTGCCTCTGAAGTTTCAAACTAACAATTTCCCAAAACATTTGATTTTAAATTAAGTTATTTTGGTAGCATTATACAGAAAGAACAAAACAAAAGTTGGTCAAGTGGAAAACAAACATGTCATTCATTCATTCCTTCATAAATTAATTTATCCCTCAATAATACTGAGACATATATGCTAACATTAAACTCTCTTTATACAATTCATCTATCCCTATATATATAAATAATCTATAAAAATATCAAAAAACTGAACAAATGAAACAAGGTGTCATCATATACGAGCCAAAAAAATATCAATGGCCATCACCAGGACTAGGAACAGATCGCAGAAGAATCCTTACTTCAGGTTCATTACTTATGAGATGACGAGCAACGAGCTTCTCATCAACTTCAACAGAGTTGCCTCTCTTGCTTGGTATTGAAGAAGGGAATGTACCCTTAGCGAGTGAAACGAGAAACAAACTGTCTGAAGATGCCTTAACTTTCTTGTTGTTGAGTTTTTATGAACCAATATGAAGTTTTCTTCCTTCTAAAGATGAACAAATAGAACCAAAGATAATCACTAATAGAACAATTTGCATAGCGTAAAAGCGACCCATTGAAGAGTTTTTCAAGTATTATTATGAGAAGAAGTGAGTTTCTTGAAGGCAAAGATGTGTTGTTATATATATCAAGAGAGAGAATAAGAGAGAGGATGTGGAGAACAAGTTTTGGTTTTAAAGTGGAACAAAATGCGTTGAAAAAAATGTCTTTGGAAGTACGAGTTTTAGAGCACCATGTGTGATTTTTGAGAGCATTTGAAGCCATTAATCCTTTAAGGGGTCTCGTATGCAATTATTCTTCATTTTTTGGTATTTTAATCCGAATTATGAGTAGCTAAATTTCTCTAAGTTAGGTTGTGTTTGATGGACTTGTTTCTGTATTGTTGGAACATATGTTGATTTGACTTTGCATGAATACTTTGATCTATAATTCTATTCAATTGCTTCTTGTTCATAATACTTTTTATGTGAGATACTCTTTTAATATGATTTTAGGCACATAGGAAACACTGACCATTAGTCTATGTGTTGGACCTAAGACAATTGTTGTACTTACGCTGGTTGAATAGGAATAGGAGACCCCAAGCAGTGGCATAGTGAATTAACGCTTTGTTGCCTCGCCTAATCTTGCTTACGTTGGTAGACTAGGGATGGAAACTCTGAGTAATGATTAATGAGTTATATCACAAGGGATTGGTTATAGCGGTTTTGTTAATTCGTCGTGGGATTATAGTGATAAGATTATTCATGTAAGATATTGAACATCAACAATAGAGAAATAGAGGATTCTACACACAACTTGATCGCTTTCTTATTTAATTTTCGTACAAACTCGAAACCTCTCCCTTCAATTTACTATTTCTTACGCATTGCACGATTTTTGTCTTGTTAAAAACTAGTTCCTGTGAATTCGATCTTATTTATTACTGCGACATTATCAGTACACTTGTGGAGAAGTCACCGTTGTGATTCCTTCTTGTTTTTTATTGAAGGGTTGTCCTTTTTATACAGTTTTTTTTAGGCTAAGGTGTCTTAATTTTTGTCTAATTTTGATCTTGTTCTTTCATTGCACTACTGATTTTCTTAATTTTTTTATCATTGTTAGTTTTTTAAATATATAATTCCTATTTTTCTATTAATAAAAAGTAATTTAAAAATAAAACATTAAAATAGTGAACATGATTTTGAATAGTAAAGTGACTCTAATTATAAATTAAAAAAAATGCTATTCGGATACGAAATTCTTACATCTACACAAATATGATGATTAGTGACGTTCACAATTTTGATTTTTTTTTTCTCTTTAAACTAATTTTTATTAATGAGGTGTAAAAACTTGATTAATACGATATAGTTTGATTAATGTGTCTTAATATTAAAAAATAGAAAAAAAATTTAATTGGTATGCACGGACAACGTAAAATAATTTTACATTATCATTCAATAGAAATTCATCAATCTGCCATGTCATATTAGTAATTTAATATTTACAGTATAATATAGCAGAATACATGAAGGTGACTGATTGACAACGTAAAATTATTTTACACTGTCAATACATACCAATTAATTTCATAAGAAAATAAAATTATTTAATTAAATGTAATAAATTGATGAATGTATATTATAAGTTGGTTATCTAGTGTTCAGACATTAATTAAGTTATACAATAATGAAATTATTTGAAAAATAAGTAACTAACTACCTACAATTTTTATAATTAATGTAACCATAAAATTGATTAATTTATAAAATAATTTAGAATAATATATTTTTATTTTAAAAATATTTATAAGGAAACACTGATCACCAATTTGAGTGTCAAGTTAGCATTTCTGCTAATTATAATATAACAATGCTATTTTTACATTTTTATTTATACTTATACCGTATATACTATTCATAAATATGGTGAACAGTGTTGTAATAGTAAAATCATACAGAAACACCGGCGTAAACACCGGCGTAAACAATGTCTATGATCGTATATGTGAATTGAGACTTTTAATAATAAATCAAAGTTGATTAATGAAATATAAAAAGTTGGTTAACATAGTAATGGTGTTGGTTAACAAAGATTTAGATATTAAAAATAATTTTTATTATTAGTAAAACAAATTTGGTTAATACAATGTAAAAAGTTAGTTAATTAAGTTATAAAATTGATTAATAAATGTTTAAATATAAAAAAAAATTAATTTTTATATTTTTAAAAAAATTATTTTATTATTATAATATTTTATTATTCACCCGTATTAATAAACAGTAAAATACCGTATATATATATATATATATATATATATATATATATATATATATATATATATATATATATATATATATATATATATATATATATATATATATATATATATATATATATATATATATATATATATATATATATATATATATATATATATATATATATATATATATATATATATATATATATATATATATATATATATATATATATATATATATATATATATATATATATATATATATATATATATATATATATATATATATATATATATATATATATATATATATATATATATATATATATATATATATATATATATATATATATATATATATATATATATATATATATATATATATGTTTACGGAAGAATAACATTTCTCATTATAATAATACATTTGATAAGGAGACAGTAAAAGAATTACTCTCACATAATACTTGGACATATTTCTTCTTCGTGCGGTCATCTATCTACTCATTTCTTATCTCTTACCTAGTTTAATCTAAAATCGGATCAACTCGCAATCGATGGTGCCTCTGAAGTTTCAAACCAACAATTTCGCAAAACATCTGATTTTAAAATAAGTCATTTTGGTAGCATTATACAGAAAGAACAAAACAAAAAGTTGGTCAAGTGGAAAACAAACATGTCATTCATTCATTCCTTCATGAGTTAATTTATCCCTCAATAATACAGAAAAAAAAACAGAGACATATATGCTAACATTAAACTCTCTTTATACAATTCATCTCTCCCTATATATATAAATAATCTATAAAAATATAAAAAAACTGAACAAATGAAACAATGTGTCATCTATATGAACTAAAAAAATCAATGGCCAGCACCAGGACTAGGAACAGATCGCAGAAGAATCCGAACTTCAGGTTCAGTACTTATGAGATGACGAGCAACGAGCTTCTCATCAACTTCAACAGAGTTACCTCTTTTGCTTGGCGCTGAAGAAGGCACAGTACCCTTAGGAAGTGAAGCGAGAAACAAACTGTCCGTTGAAGATGGCTTAACTGTCTTCTTGTTGAGTTTTTCTGAACCAATATGAAGCTTTCTTCCTTCTAGAGATGAACAAATAGAACCAAAGATAATCAATAATAGAACAACTTGCATAGCGTAAAAGCGAGCCATTGAAGAGTTTTTCAAGTGTTATTATGAGAAGAAGTGAGTTTCTTGAAGGCAAAGATGTGTTGGTATATATATATATTGAGAGAGAAAGAGAGAGAGGACGTGCGGAACAAGTTTTGGTTTTGAAGTGGAAAAATAAATGCGTTGAAAAAAATAGAGTGAGAAAGGTGTATTTGTATATGGAACAAGAAAGTCTTAGTATTAGTCAAAGAAAGAGTAATGTGTTGTAAAGTTTAATAATGTCATGTTTTGTATAATAGCCACCATATTTGCCGCGTGGAATTTACGAGTTAGGTGAAGGTGAGGTAAGACGCCGCCCAACCCTTTTTGGTAATTTCGTTTTTGATTTTATTTTGGATACATATTACACCGTCAATGTGTCAAATCTAGTTAATGTGTGTTAAAGTGATAACATGGCTGACTTGGAAGGGCTTAGATTGAGGCATTCACTCGTTTCGGAGGAAAATAAGATTTGGGTTTATGGTTAGGGAAATATTCAATATAGTCGGCGTGTTTTTCTACATATGGTGTGGAAAAAAGGGATGTGTGTTCACCAAGATTCATTATTCAAACTCTATACTCTAAATAAATATTTTCTTTATAACAATGATGACGTATGTACAAACGAATAATATGTCAAAAAATGTTGAGAACATAATGTGAATGCTCCCTTTGTAGTTTTTTTTTTTCTTCTTCATATATAAGAGTAAGATGTTGAATGTACTATATGAGTTTTGGGTATTCCGACCAATTTATATGTAATAGCTAAAATAGCATTTTATTTATATAAAAAAGTAATATTGATATCATGATTTAATAATAATTTAATAATTATGCGGACTGAGCAAATAAATAAGAGCAGTTCGCCACGAAGATTAAATCTAAATTTTGTCCACTTAAATTGAAGAAAAAAATGTATTTTTTGATAAGATGTCTCGCACACTTCAGTCACCGTGATCATCTTAATCGTTGAGATTTATCTAATAATCTTTTGCATAAAGTATAACGTTCATCGAGTACAATTATAACAGTTATTCATATCTAAGCGTGACTTTGGATCACACCAAAGTACAATTAATTGCACATTTGCAAATTCATTCTCTCTAATTATGCTAACTTAGGGGTTTGAGTGCTAACCTCGCAGATAAATTCTCCTATTCGTCGATCGGAGACCTCCACCACCGTCTAAGAGACCATTCGCGATGGACTTCACCAACTTACTACTAATATTTTGTTCCACATCAAAATAATGGTGTTGTCTACGAGAATCAATTCTTGCTTAATTCCTACAAAATTCCATTTTGGACTTCTTATATTTCCTCTGTTGCACCACAACAATTATTTGTGTTAATTTATTCGATCATCGTTAACTTCTATAATCATAAGCAATGACACCTTCCAAAGTGACTCAATCTGCTGCTCATCATAATGTTGTCACTACAGTCGACACCTTTACATCAATCCCCTCTCACACGTCTTAAGAGTCACTTCCTCCCCTTGAGGTGACGACCTGGTTGTAGTGATTTCTCTTGTCGTATCCTCTCGCCAGATCTCAACCTCTCTGCCGCCTGAACAATAAATTTCTAGGTTCTGCTGTCATTTCAAATGTTTGAACAACTACTCAAAGGCCAAACGTCAGAAAAATCTCTATCTCCGCCACAATTGCAATTGTCAGAACCAGATATAACTCAAAACTTCTAGCGAATATAAGCCACACTCGAGATCCAAGGTGTAAACGAACTCATAACAGATATCTATAATCGAACTTATAACGGACATCTATAACATTGTGCAATAGCAAAATGTGCATTTTCTAAACGAGAGACTCCTATTTATAGAAGAATACCAGAAAAAGGCTCCATCGTGAGACCCTACTCAACTAGAAGTACTGCAACACAACAACCTCAAAACCAGACCTAGGTCCATTCCTGATGACGTTGCATCATAGAAAATGAGAACATGCAAAATCACTAGAGTGTCGCTTCCATCACGACCATAACTCCTGTCCTCATGAGTTGGGGGAGAGAATGGTAGTCACATTTCTCTCAAAGATCGTCGTCCTAAGAAATCCCCATCACATCATTCTCAAAGAAGAAATAAGTAGGGAACTTTCCACAAAACTCCCTCTCGCCATAAAAAAATCCATTCACCAAGCACATTGTCAATCGCATGATTTATAAATCCCTAGAGAAGCCACTGAAGTTAGTCAATTACAACAGAACCGAAGATCTAGACGAACACATAGAGCATATGGACATTATGCTCGACTATCACTATGCCATAAATGGTGTGAAATGAAAGTTGTTTGTGTAAACTGTCAAAGGATCGTCCATGACATAGTTCAAAACCTTGAAGGATGGTTCCATCAACTCCAAGAAAAAACTATGTGATGAGCTCATATCGTAATTCAAAGCATAGAAATGTCAGCAAAAAATAATAGGCATCCTTAGAGGGGTCCGCCAAAAGAGGAAATAAACCCTCCGAGAATATACCAATCGGTTAACTAAAGTAGTCTTGGAAGTAGATGGTTAACTAAAGTTGTATCTTCAAGAAGATATTGAGGAAAAACTATATACTTGAATAAAAATTAGGGTTAAAGAGTTTAGGGAGCATGACTGACCTCCTCACTCGATCCCAAGACTATATTAACTATGAGGAGTAGTTGTTGGTCGAGGATGTTAAAAGGAATAACGGATTGGGGAACCTGGTGAGTGGCAAGCAAGGAGATAACAGGTGCCAAAAAGACGGGGACTGAGACATACACAAAAGACCATATGCTAGATTATTTCCTTAAACAAATGTGTGAAAGATGAATTAAAAAAGGCTAGGATAAGGTACCCTGCCCTGTAAAAGAATATGCAATGAAACAAAAGTTAATATTATGTCGCTTTCATATGAGTCATGGACATAACACTAATAAATATGTAATTTAATGGATTCTAATGAGGAGATGAATAAAAATGCAATATTGGACAGACACATTCAACAAGGAAATAAGAAAGATGACTACAAGATATACAAAGGTTACCATATAAGGTATAGAAGACGGAGTGATTCAACCCAAAAAAAAACTCCCCGTTGAGGTGAGATGCCACCTAAGAAAATAATTGAGGCCATATAGAGTGATGAACGTGAGAAAAACACAAGAAGGGGGTTTAATTGTGTTATACTTTTTCTTTCTTTTAAAGTTTTAGTCAAATTCTAAACACAAAGTTTAAAATCTAAACTAATCAGAGGTGAGTAATAAGCAGTGGATAAGGAATGCAATAAAGAAGGAGACAAAAAAAGTTATCATGGTTCCTCTCACAAACCGAGAGACGTCCAGTCCCTTTGTACTTACAAGAGATTTTTACTATAATCACACAAAATTACAATTTGATCAAGTATACAAGCAAGAGACTTCAAATGCTCAAACACTATATAAGAGACTTGTAACAATCTACCTAACATATAAAAGATTGTTTGAGGGTAATATAATTGATATACAATAAGAGGTGTATACAATATAATAAGATTTTTTAAGACTTAGAGGTTTCTAGATTAAACAAAGATAAGAAATCCTAATTTAAACTTATGCTTGCGTTTTAACAGAGTAACTACTCTTTGAATGTCAATTAGTTTATTTTTATTCTTCAAGTCTTCAGATCCTTATATAGAGAATGAAAACAGTCGTTAGAGTTATTGCACAAGAGAGTCTTTGAAAAGCTTGAATAAAGACGTTGAGATGTTTCTTTAAATGGTTATTGTCATTGAAAGATCATTTGGAATTCCTTTGCTTCAAAAGGAATTATCAGTTGCATCCAAACTATCTATATGAGAAATGGGTTATGTTTTCACGTGATTAGGTTTTCCCATATCTGGCTAGGCTAAAAAAATTAGGTTATTTTCTTTGAAAAATAGAGGTTTCAAAACTATTTTAGGGAGTGTGTGATTTAGCCATAATACTTTATAAAAACACCATTTTGTTTTAATAAAACACTTATCACTCAGTAACAATCAGGTGAGCTTTCACGACTCCTCTCTTTGACACCCTGAAGCTATAAGGGCTTTGGTGAATATACCAATTATATAAGCACTTGCTTGATTCTTCTTTGGAGGTGACGCTTGAGATATCTTCAAGTTAGACTCCATCATCGGTGGTCTTTAAACCTTAACTCTTTTGCTTTATTTGGAGGAAGAGCTTAAACAAATTATCTTGTACGTTTTTGACAACTTAACATACTTGTTTGGCTTTATACTTTGAGTTAAGTTTATATCTCCATGAGTTGTGATCAAATTTTGCATTTTTACAGGTTGTCATCATCAAAACCAAACCATGATAGTCATGGATTGCTTTAGCTTTGATTCCTTATTGATTAAATCTGCAAGCACATAATTCAACATTCTCCCCATTTTTATGATGACAACGCATCTCAGGGAGGTGGTAAAAGAAACAACATGTAGATAAAAAATGGATTGTTTAAACTCCCCCTCAAATCAGTAGAAAGTATACTCTACTCCCACTGAGAGTATGCTTTTCCCCTTTGTCATAATAAAAAATTCATGTAAAGTATGCAAGATAGAAAATAAATATGCAAGCACACACTCACATAATCATTTTAGAAAGGGGAAAAACAACACACTTCATTTATTCAAATTAGACTGGAATTTAAAATACAAAAAGACGTGAAAATTCAAGAATTAAAATAATGTAAAAGTAGAAAATCAAACACACTTTGAAACTAAAACACATGGATGATACTATTCTTCATCATCAAAATTATCATCAGTAAACAATCCTGGAGGTAATTGCCCTGAAATAGTGAGCTAGAAAGTTGATTTTGTCATATGTGTTTTCTAGTTTCTAGAATGTGATCTTGAGTAGGTATTCAGTTGAGGGTAGTTGAGGGGTATCATATTTGAAATCTTATATGTTTATAGGTGTTTCTTGATCTTCTATATTTCTCTTATTTCATTTAAAGGGTTTTTCAATCAACTTTCCATCAATGATCTCACACCTCATT